GTTCTTCCACGTTATATGAATTAATCTCTTACATATTCACTGTGGTGTTGATTTTCCTGCCATATTAGATTTTGTATTTTGAATAAATGCTTTTAAATAAGCTCTGAATTTAGTACAAAACTATTTCTTTTTCATCTATTTTGTCTTTTAGGTTTTAATTCTTACAGTTTTCTTTTATTTTTCAAAAAAATTAAATACTTTTTTAATTTCTAATATTTGTTTTAAGATAAATTAACCATGATTGTTCTACGAATTTGAAAATTTTCTGTCATATAAACATTTTGTTCTAATATTGATATATGTAACTCGAAATCGTTAACCTTTTATTCAACACTGATTAGTTTTATATAATTATAAATATAATTTTAATTAAAGAAAAAATAAAATTAAAAAAAAAGTGTAGCAACCAAAATCAACACTTATTTATTTAACGTTATAAAAACTAATTTTAAGTCTTTCAAAAAATTACATTTATTATTTATTTTTTAATTTATATATTTATTTATAGATTAATTGATTTTTTAACTTAATATTTAACCAAAATCAAAAAAAATAACTTCTTATGAATCCCTGCACCTTCATATTTTTTTAATATCTCTCATACCTTTTAACAATTTAAGTTTTGGATTATATAATTGAGAATGTATTATATGATTCGAAATATGTATTTTTCAATATATTGTATATTGTAGAATTTCTATCGTACTTTTCTTATACAGAGAAGGGGATCAAAAGCTGATCCACATAATTTTCAGATTATGTAATTCAGAGTTTTTAAAACAAATTATATAATTTAGAAGTTAAATGTAATTTTTAGATTATGCAATTAAAAAGTTGAATAATTTATTTTGAAATGTGTATTCCATAAGTACTTTCTCAGGAAAAAAATACTTTCAAATTTGACATCATAGAAATATTCTTTTTACTTTTGGATTACATATTCCAGAATTTATTCCTAATTTCTGAATTATACAATTGAGAAAAGGCAAAATAGGAAGTTCATTTATATGGAAGCGCAGGAAATAAAATATATGGAGGTGCATAAAGGAATGCTCAACATAAAAGTCCGATTATTGAGTGGACTGGCCCATTTTTTTCTCCCTTTGGACTCAAAGTGGACGTCACTAAAGGGCCCAATAGAAACTTTTAGAGAACTGTTATTTATATTTCTCAATTTCATTAGGGGATCCAAAAATTTTGTAATGAATTTGACTTACTCTAGTCACTGTAGAAGGAGGAACAAATTCAATTTATACCCTTAAAATAATTAATTTCTACTTTTAATACTTTGAAAAGAAAAATATAAAAAAATTTCTCATCAACATGTATATAAAAACTGATAAAAAAAATTAAAAAAACAAATATTACTAGACATAAAGTTGAATACCTATTTTTAATTTCTAATAAACGGGTAAAAGATAGTGTACTTATAGACTTAACCATATTTAAGATAAACATGTTCCCAGTTAATTTTACCCAAGCAAGCATATTTCTGTTTCAGTTAAAAAAAATATTTTATTTCATTTTTTATTTCTTCTAGTAATTTTAACATATTTATGCTTTTTTTTTATGAATGTAAAACAAATATAAATATTTATATTTGATTTATTTGCGGTTTTATTTGATGGATTATGTTGTTTTAAAGTGTTTATTGAGTTAATGAAATGGTCTGAATTTGAGGTATCATAGTAAAGATAATGTGTGATTTATTGTTTGAATTGTGTATTAAGCATTAATATTTATATTTTATATGGTAACCAAAATTCTCTTACTTCAACGATGATATAAGTTTCAAACTAAAATAGTATGTGGTGAAAAACAAACAGAAAAACTTACATCTTAGTTTTGATGAACTTNGATGGATTATTTATATAATTTATGTACTATAGAGAGACAGTAGCAGTTTAGGGATGAATTTGATGGTTTATCCAATGAAGCACAGAAAAGGACAAAAATACTAGATCGCCCATTTGCTTCAGAATCTAATCCGGAAATGGTAGTAGTTTGAGCACCTAATTATCAACCCGATACCCTGATCTCTTTCTAACGCCAATACTTCATTAAAAAAAAAAAAGACATCAACCACTACAAAACAAGTAAAAAAGACATTGGGAAGAAAAATGAAGACAAGAGAAAAAAAAATGAAAACTTTATATTGAAATTGAGGAATTTAAGAAGAGAAAATTCACCGGAGAGTCATCAGTGGCTGATCTGATATGAAGGGAAGCTTGGGCAGTGCCAGTTTGGCTCTGGTAATACTGAACATCAGGGGGGAGTGTGCAAGGAAGAAGCTGAGAATGAAAGCGATCCTCAAGCTTCGAAACGAGTTCGACCATCAGATTCTTCTGGGCAGCTGAAACGAACGGAAAGTCGATGAATTTGGAGCGGCCATGGTCGTGGGTCTCCTGGGTCTCTTCCATGCGAGAGGAAGAGAGAGATGAAGAAGAAGGTTTAAGCCTGAAAGAAGGAGAATAAGAAGGTACAGAGAGAGGGTAACGTGTTGAAGGAGAAAAAGAAGAACGATAAGAAGATAAGATGGAAAGTGGAGAACACCGAAAATGGTCACAGATCATCACTTCCATCATCTGTAACTATTATTCTCTCTTACACTGTTTTCATCCTTTCAGACTGTTTTGTTTCTTCACGTTATTATGAATTAATCTCTTACATATTCACTGTGTTGTTGATTTTCCTGCCATATTAGATTTTGTATTTTGAATAAATGCTTTTAAATAAGCTCTGAATTTAGTACAAAACTATTTCTTTTTCATCTATTTTGTCTTTTAGGTTTTAATTCTTACAGTTTTATTTTATTTTTCAAATAAATTAAATATTTTTTAATTTCTAATATTTGTTTTAAGATAAATTAACCATGATTTTTCTACGAATTTGAAAATTTTCTGTCATATAAACATTTTGTTCTAATATTGATATATGTAACTCGAAATCATTAACCTTTTATTCAATACTGATTAGTTTTATATAATTATAAATATAATTTTAATTAAAGAAAAAATAAAATTAAAAAAAAAGTGTAGCAACCAAAATCAACACTTATTTATTTAACGTTATAAAAACTAATTTTAAGTCTTTCAAAAAATTACATTTATTATTTATTTTTTAATTTATATATTTATTTATAGATTAATTGATTTTTTAACTTCAATATTTAACCAAAATCAAAGAAAATAACTTCTTATGAATCCCTGCACCTTCATAATTTTTTAACATCTCTCATACCTTTTAACAATTTAAGTTTTGGATTATATAATTGAGAATGTATTATATGATTCGAAATATGTATTTTTCAATATATTGTATATTGTAGAATTTCTATCGTACTTTTCTTATACAGAGAAGGGGATCAAAAGCTGATCCACATAATTTTCAGATTATGTAATTCAGAGTTTTTAAAACAAATTATATAATTTAGAAGTTAAATGTAATTTTTAGATTATGCAATTAAAAAGTTGAATAATTTATTTTGAAATGTGTATTCCATAAGTACTTTCTCAGGAAAAAAATACTTTCAAATTTGACATCATAGAAATATTCTTTTTACTTTTGGATTACATATTCCAGAATTTATTCCTAATTTCTGAATTATACAATTGAGAAAAGGCAAAATAGGAAGTTCATTTATATGGAAGCGCAGGAAATAAAATATATGGAGGTGCA